TATGGCAACCCCTATCCTCTTGAGCCTGAACACTCCTATTGCTAAGCATCCATATAATTTATGCCTATAGAACTACAATTCCTCAGAGTAATTTTTCTTCCATCTGTTCAGCTTGAATGGAGAACATTTGTTAAATAGTGTTTGGAGGGATGTTGGCAGTAAAATACCCTGATGTAAAAATACCCACACTGATGTTAGGCTAGTTAACTGGTCGTTGCAGGCACAAAGCTGACATTGTTATGTTACAGGGAGCTAGAAGAAGTACATATAAATGAAAAAATTTTCTTCTTTTCTTATATACTTGAATATTATTTCCCATTGTTCTTCTAAAAAGATTTAGATAAGTAACTAAATACCCACTTAGAATAATTGAAAGTAATTGCGGTCCACCTGCGTATTGTGTAAAGTTAGACTAAGTCAAGTCCTGGCAGTCTAATACTTTTTCAATTCAAGAAGCCAGAGCCATGTAAATATTGAGAGTGATTACGTCTCCTCATCTTCTTCTTCCCTTTCTTTACTTTCCAATGTTAACTGTTACAAAAAAAGAGTCAACTTGAGTTTCAGAATGTCTGCCAGAAAGCTTTTGGGATTCCCTTGGGGATTGAATTTTTCATTCTTCAGCAAGCAATGTCTGTCTCCAGAAATGCAATAGAAAAACAGTATTTTTCTTTTTCATGTAATATCAGTGTCCAAGCTAAGCAGAACTCATTTTTTTTTATTTTATTTTCAAGCCTGAATAGCATCTTGTGTTGATGCTAGTATGTGCCTTTTTTAAACCTTCATTTGTTATTATTAAGCAGCTGCTAACGTGTACACAAGTTCTTTTTCTTTTCTGGGTTAAAATAATGGCTTTTAACTTATCCGAAAGTTTCACTGCTATTGTGCTTGTTGAGCTACACTACCAGCAGTGAAAGAACGCTACTGAATGCAGCAAATGTTTGATTTATTTCTAAGCCTTTCTAAACTGTAACTCATCTGCATTTCTTTCCAGCCTTCTCTTTTTTGTTACTGGTAAAAAATTAAATAATTACCAAGTTATCTGTGATTTTTGTTGAGTTCAGTAACAAAGGAGTTTTATGTGTCCAGCAGTGACTTTACAGTGACTTTACGTATGAAACTCAAATGTGATCTAGATTTTCAAAAGTGAGGTTGGTTGAGCATATTTAAGGAGTTTTGATTTCTCAAGGAAGTACTGTACTTCTGCAGGAAGTACAGAACACTGTTCCTTCCAAGGTAGGTGAAGCTGAAATCTGATTTTTGATTATCTGTATGCAGCAAATGTACACATTTCCCTTTCCCTCTATCATCCCAGTTGTGTATTTCCAGGACCACAAAGATTTTGCTAATGTTAAAAAACATAAAAATTGTAAAAGTAAAGGAGAAGAAATATTTTTAAGCAATGTGCATACAAAGTTTGAAGAGCAGTGAAGTGTGCATACAAAGAAAGAGTGCAAAAAGTGACTTGAAGAGCTGAAACTGTTTGCCGTCTCTGTTATTGTACAGCTCATGTTCTGCAAAATCACTACTACCAACTGTGATTGAATTGCTAAGACTACTCCTTTAACTTTACAGGATGTGTAAGTCTTGTGATCCTCTTTAGACTCTCATAGGAAAACTTAAGAAACCAGTAGTATTTATAAATTATTCCTTATGGCTTTCAAGACTTTTTTTTTAACCTTCTTTCCTTTTTTAACTTGAGTTCAGGTTGATATGCAATTGACAAATAATGATGATATTTGCTTAACAACCCATAGCACACACCCAAGGAAATGCACAAATCTATTTTAGGGTTGAACTATATGATTCTCCTTTACCTGGCACCATTTGAAGTGTAGATCAGGAGACTTCTGCCAACCTAATGTCAAAAAGTGGCTTGTCCTGTCTGGCATTATTTAGAATCACTGTAGGATCGCACAGAGCTATGTACAAGCAATTTGTTCTCCAGCTGGTAGGCAGTTTTTTCAAACAGAGAGCAATTCTCAGTGTTTCCTCTCTTTCCCTGTGATCTGTTCAGAAAATTATTCCGTTTTACTCTGTAGATTTTTGTTCCATACACTTTAATGCACTTTGCTGTCCTGCCTGAATATCTTCTGTAGCATGGTGAAGTCCACCTTTTTTTTTTTTTTCATTTAGGTATCTGCTCTGGAATGAATGTGTGTTCTTATGCCTGCTTTGTATTTACATTGGAGAATAGAAGGGTGAAAGAAACACGCCTTATGCTGGAGCTAAAGTTGATTTGTTTATGAAACAAACTCCCTCAAGAAACAAAGTTTATTAAGCAAACTCTGAAGAAGCTTTGTTTCTTGCAGGCTGAAGAAGGTGGTAGGGAAAAATATTACACCAGCTGCAGATCTCTTAGGGATGCCTGGCTCTTGAAGGTGTGTGCATGTATGTGTTTCAGGGACATAGGTGAAAAAGCCGTACTGACAGAATATACTGCAGGAGAAGGGGAAAAAGGAACCTCCTGAATAGAGGTGTTATTTGTCAAAGGATCTCCACATTGCTACTGAACCAACTCTAATTCTTTTGGTCACCTAAGGAATTTAAAACTTCCTGGGTCCTTTCACGTTCCCTGCTGAAATCCCGCACTTTGTTTTTGCTCTATAGAACATTTTAGTAAGCATTAAGAGAGCAAAATAACATGCTTTAGATCTGTCCTTAGTTTGAAAACCACTTTAAGTGTCAGAAACACAAGTAGACTTAAATAATTTTAGCTTTGATATGTTGCAGCATCAGGAACACATTGTGATGGGTAATGATTTTTTTTAATTGCTAAAGTGATGCTTTCTTGTTTTTGTTTTTTAATTAACATAGCAAGATCTAGCCAATTTTGGGATGGCTTGTCATTCAAAGTTGTAAAAAGTAATACAGTTCTGTAACAATGCCTGTGTTGCAAACTGTTCCTGAGGTGGGTTAAAATATGGAGGTTAACTAGATATCAAAACTACTAGAATTATACATGTATAAAATGCATTTAGGCATACTAAATCTCATTCTACCCATCCCCTTGGCCATTTTAGAAATTGTTTTGAGGAGCTGGCTTAGCGAATACCAGCTATTGTGAACATAGATGAGGACACCAAATCAGTCCTGCGTGCTCAGGCTGAAGCTGTACCACTTGTGTTTGTTCCTCCCCAGATTTTATAACCTCAGGACAGTGCTGCAGCAAGTGAGCTGACTGGGTGATTTAAACACAATTTTCTCCCCTTCGAGCCTCTGCAGATTTTGTTTCACAGTAGAGGGCAGTGTGCAGTTGGAGTTCATCCTCTCGAGAAGTGCTGCGTTAACTTGATTTCTTATAGGCAGAAGGATTCCAGGGCGCACTTCAAACTTACAATTTTAGCTCCACTCTATGCTTATGCCTAATTAAGGTAGTTCTATTTTACTTAAGCTCTTGCTTTAGTTTGCATTGGATTTTTTTTCCCTTTGTCTGCTCCGCTGCCATGCCTTTTTAAATAGCGGCAGCGTTCCATCCCAGATATGGCTATATTTTAGTGGTCAGCAAGTACATTGCTATACTGAGTATTTAGTTAAATGCCTTGTAGATCTTTCTGTCTAAAAAGAGCTCCATTGAGACTAAGAGGATATTATTATTCATAATGTGGTGACTAGTTTCACACATGGCTGAAGCAAAATAAATCATCACTGTTTTTAACAAAACAGTGAGTAGACCTCTTGTTGACCACAGCATATTTGTGGTCAACAAAGAAAGAGTCTTTTATAGATATTAATATGCTGCCAAGGTGCTTTAGCTGAGATTTTTGCCTTAAGGGAGGTGGGCTTCCACCACTACATATTCATGCTTTTCTGCTAAGCCTGTTTCTAGAGCCCCACTCTTACAGAAGGACTTGATACAAAATCCGGTCCTGAAAAGAGAAAGTGATCATTGAAATAATTGATACAGTTAAATATTGCCTAAATGCTGAATCTGACAAGAAAATGAACAATGCTCTTGAGTGTTTAGGCAGTAATTTTTAGTTTTGAGTGGTCCTAAGCAAAACAACAGACATATCGGCACTTCTGTGATGCACACTAGCATAAAGCCCATTTATCTTGAAGGTTTTAAGCAGGCCTGAAGGATACCAAAGCATCACACTGATCCTCTAGTTGTTCATGCTTCTGGTTCTTTGCAGTTAAACTGGAGTTCAAACATTAATTATAATTGATCTGTTTATTACTCAGACAAGGGAATGAAGTTGTTTGGGAATGCTGTCATCTTCTGATTAAGCACCCATACAATGCTATATGACTTCTGTGAACTGACTGGGTGCGAAACAGAGCAATTTCCTACATGGAAAGTCCTGCTGAACAGACACTGGTGGCAGCCAACACTGGTTCGTAAATGCTCCCTCTCATCACTTTTCAGAAGTTAATTTGAACTTTTCAGCTTGTGTACAGACATCTACCCAACTGAAAACCCCACCAGAAACTCTTAATTCCTTCTTCCAAAAAGCAGGAAGTTGGATCACATCAATATGCTGCTTAAATAATGCAAAAGAAATGTAGTTTGTGATGGGAATGGCGAGAGGAAAAGATCTGAAGCAGTATAAAAAGAATCATGGGTTGTGAGAAAGTATAAAATAGGAAAGCCCTTCTACATGGCGTATAGTTATGTAAACTGAAAGCAGAACTTTTACTCAAAAGGCTTACATTTGACTTGTTTCTTTAACATTTACAAAAGGCCCTACTCTGATCTCAACCAACTGTAAAAAAGAGCCAGCTCCACTGGACTTAGCGAAAGCTCCGTGAACTTCAGGGAGGGAAATCTTGTGTGAAATAAGAAGCAGTGTCATCTCTGTGAATTTATCTAAACCTTGTTGTAGCTCTCCAGATGAACTTTGAGTGTTGCATATTTGCAAACATTAAAAATGCAGATAGTTTATTGAAGACATTTCTCAGCCTCTGGTACGTTAATAAATAAACTTAGATTGCATCTGTGTGGCATACAGAGTGCACTCCCAGTGTTTACATCACTCCATAGAGGGAAATAAGTGATCTCTGCTATCTCTAAACCACACTAAAAACATCTATTGTCTGATTTAAAAAAATACCTTAAAATATTCATGTCTGACTAAAGGTTTTATTCAACCTGCTGTGTGCTGAAAGTGGAATAACTGTACTCACATAGACTTTGTGACTGGAAAATGAGATTCATCAAGATTTGGAATCTGTATGTGTGAACTGAGATCAAGTTTACTATTTTATTTACAAGGATAAATTGCTCTAAAAATTATCTTGAGGGGGAAAAAAAGAACAGCAAACAAACAAACAAAAAACAAAACCACGCTTGTGAGCCAAAGCATATCTACATAAGCAGATACAGGTAAAGCCGAGCCTATGCTCTGTTCTGCCTATGCTACGGGCTGGCCACATATGAGCCAGTTCATAAATGACATGACTGAATCAGCATCTCTATGAAGTGATATCCGGATAGCATACACTATTTCCATTTAGGACATCTGTAGCTTACAGAACAGTTTTGAATAGGAAATGGTTTCTTTCTGGATAAATGCATGTGTAGAAATACAATTTAGAAAACTTCATGTAGCAACTGTGTCCTGAGCCAAAAAATATGTCTCGTTGCCCAGCTGTTACACATGAGGGCTCCTGGCAATTCTCTGGAGAAATATGAACAGGAATTATTGGTCTCAGAAATGAAATTCAGCTGAAGAGATTAGATCTTAACTAATGTGATTTTCTGTCATCTGTGGTAAACAGCCACGGTCCACAAATTGAGCTTCTTTTAAGGCACTTGGCAAACAGTTTTTCTAAGTAAGGCCTAGAAACTGTTTTCCCGAAGTTTCCTGGAATTCTGTCTATGCCTTTAGCTACTGTAATACCCACCATCTTATTCATCATCCTGGGGCTTTTTCCTTTCCACACTGGTGCTAAATATGGACTGTTAAAGAGGTCTTCATTGGTTCCTGCTGAAGCAGTTCTGTTGGTTGCTGTGGATCAGAAATTCTGAATGGCAGGAGCAGGAAAGCAGGTGACATTTTATAATGCTTTCCTGTGGGGAAAAATTTCTCTTTTGGTATTTCAGTGCCAACTTTGTGCAAATGTCATTAGTTTTGTGATACAAAAATGAGAAATCTTGATGAGTTTCCATGCGATCAGGCACAAACATCAGTTTGTGGCTTTGTCTATCATTCTGCCTTCTTCTGTATTAAAGCTGGATGTTTCTGTGCTTTTGTAGAAGCTGCTGCACTTTTTCCCTGGACAAGAATGATGGTTTCTCAGAGAGAGTCCAGAAGTCATCTTTGGAGTCTGGATGCTATTTCTGCTTCAGAGTCTCTCTGCCATGAAAGAAGCATGCACACAGCCTTCTTCCTCTGCTGCTGCCTGTGAGATGAAGGTATTGCTTTTGTTTTACGCGCATTCTGTGGATGAAAGACATTTTAAATGTCAGAGTGTGGAAGTTTGTAATGACCCAGTAATTCAACAGGATTTCACTTCTTGTGCCTACTTCCAAGTGTTAAAATCTTAGAAATATACATTAATACTTTCAGAGGAAAAATACTACTGGAAGTCTCTGAGTTATGAGCAGAAACTTGCTCAACTGCAAGTAACTTGGGAGGGTCATTCAGCTGAGCTGAGAAACTTCAGAAGTCTGCCAAACTTGTTCCCATGTGTGACAGTTCAGCTCTTCCTCAGACAGCAGAGCTCCCTAGTAATGGCACGAAACATCACCTTCCTTCTCTTCCTCTGCAGAGCAGAGCATACCATGCTGCCAGTGCCTTCAGCTTTATAATGTGAAAAGCAATGCTAGCCACTGAGGCACTTGCATTTTATCAATAAGAGCAGGGTGAGAAGCCATGCTAGGATATAACAAACCTGACCTTTCTGTTCATAGGTACCAGGCTGCTCAAGCCAGTCACAGATATTTTAGCTGGTATTTTGTCTAGGCCAAGCCGTTCTTGAGAAGTAAAGCTTGTTTATAAAACCTCCACTAAAAGCAGGTGTTGCAGACATCCCATTAGTAACCTTTGACTTACCTTCCCCTTTGAAACTTTTCATCCCAAAGGACTGACGTTTCAAAGCCTTTATTCTTCTTTTTTTTTTTTTTTGTCCCTCCACGTTTGCATATTGTAAACATTTTTCTTCTCTGCTCTGATGGAACAGAGCCAAAAATCTGCACAATGGGGGAACTAGATGTTAATGAGCAGAGATTGTGGGAAAATGTGTACGGGGCTGCCCTGCCTGACCTGCATGATAATGCTACATTTAGCACATTCTTTTCCATTGGGGTAGCAGGCCTTGAAATGGTAGCAAACAACACATATTGTGAAGGTTTGTTTTAAAGAAAACTACTTTCTTCAGAGAGTGGAAATAACAAATTATTTATTGTATACAGTTGGCAGACTGACAGCTGGCCCTGGAAATATTTATGCACAAATAGAGGTGTGAAAATATATATTCATGTTTTCAGTAAAATCACTTTACATGAAAGTTTAAATGTTCTAAAACACTGGTATTGCATACAGACTCATGCTGAATTGAGAAAGTTTACAATGACTGTGGTATTTAGGAACTGATGAAGAAAAAATGGCTATTGGGTCTGTTAGGACAAAACATATTCAAGCACTTTGGCATCTTCTAAATAGTTTTTTACTCTAGCTGTGCTCATGGCCCCTTTTTAATGTGTTTATGTCAGTGGAGTTTTGTTTGTACAAAACGCTCCTGAAAAATTAATTTTGGCTCCTCTGAGTCAAGTTTCATTTAATCATAAAACAAAATTTATGTCTCAAGCATATGAAAATCGTTAGGGGCAAAAGGATTCTGAGAACATAAACAACACCATGTGACTTAGACACCCAATTGCACAGCTTGAATCTATCAAGTGGTGAACATACTAAAATACTAAAGAGAACACTTACAGTCAGCATTTGGTGTGCAGTGAGTAGGGAGAAATTTGTTTGCACAAAACTGACTAACAAAGAGAAGTACTGAAGGGCTTCATAACAAAAGGCTGTAGGTAATTTCTGAGCAGAGAAAGGGCTTTAAATCCATTGAACAAGCTATTCCTTGCAAACTTTTTATCCAGCTATCTTTTAATTATATTTTGTATGTCCAACTCTACTCTTCCAGTTAGGGAAATAGTACTTTATGTAGTAAAAATTGCATACACATGTGAACTGTTTACAAATGACATTCCAAATTCTCATCAGGAAATGCTTATTACTTCATAATCAAAGATTCCTAAAGAGGTTTTCCATGGGGAAAGAGACTTCCCCTAATTACCTTAAAGTCAACACTTATGGAGTGGATATGGGCTCAGAGCCATGTTTTGCAAAGGACAAAGCAAACTTCTTAGTGGAACATCTGCTAGGTAAGGACAACATACCTTAGAATAGATTTACTGATTAATTCAACCTTGATCCCAAAACTACTTCTATCCTAAAATTACTGTCTTAGTTGTGCTACATGTCTTCAGGAACAGCTTCAAACTCTAGCTAATACCAGAAGTTCAGACAATATGCTTTGAAGCTACTCAAATCCACTTACATTTTTCATAGTAAAAGAAAAGAATGCAAAAACATCTATTCCCTTTTCAGGGATCTTTAAAATGGTGTGAGACACGTGTGACCAGCTGACTCCCTGCCAATTATTGGATGGATTTATTTTCTCCACAAATAATGTGTTTGTGCCATGAGCAGCCAGTGACTCCAGCTACCGTTCCCTCGGAGCTGCTTAGAGCAGCTAAAAGAGTGATAGCTGTTCGGTATGTTCCGAAGGCTATGAACTAGTTGGATATCCATGTAGGTATATCCACACTCTCATAACCATTAGGAGATCCTCCTGGATTTCAGGAGATTACTTGGGTGGGATGACCTTGCAGTTTGTTCAGGAGAAATCTTTATGATCTACATGGATATCTGTTACCAAGCTGGGTACAGTTAGTTCCTGTTTTTCACTCTCCTTCCTCATCTATCATTTCAGTTCTAGGTTTCCAATGTCCCCTACTACTTAGTACAGCAACTACACAACATCTCTGCATTGTCAGATATTTCTGGATAATGATTTAAATCAAACCTTGAGGTACTTTCAAGACAAGCGCCAACTTGGTGACCGTGTCCATCCTTTCTTGGTTAAACTTCGGCTTGTCTGCCATTCTCATGGAGCTTTCATTTTATCATGTGCCTTCTGTTTATTTGTCTTCCTCTTCATTAGACTCAGGGGATGTTGTGGTCTATGCTTTGGAGACTGCCCCAAGTGAAAAAGTCAGGGAGTTGCAATATGTCTGGAAAAAAGAAAGCAGAAACAGAGTGTCTGTAGTGGAAGAAGGAAGAGAACCCAGGAAAGTTACTTGTTCTGTTCATTCTTCAGTACTTGTTGGGTTCTAACTACCATGTGACTTTGATTTCAATTTATTAGCTGAAATTCTGAAACGCAAAGACCATCACATCGCAGCTCATAAATGGTGATTATGCCCCTGCTGTTGATGAGAGCTCCCACTGAATACTGAACTTACATTCTTGAAGCTTTGCTTTCAAAGCCTTGCAGAAAAAAAGGAAAAAAAAATAAAATATATATAGTTCTATCTTCATAAGTCAGTTCTTTTAGCTTCACTGTTTGTATATACTTGTACTTGTTTGTATTTACTTGTATGTAAATGCTGTAAGAGATTGCATCAAGGTCAGATAATGCACACTGGCCTGGGCTGCTTCTACTTAATGCTGACTTCCCTTTCAGCAATTACCATCAGTTGGACTAAGTGTTTCAGGGGAATAGGATCAGATCTTAGTCTTTCCTGCACTGACTATTTTGAGAAATAGAAAGTATTCGTCTTACCTTCATTTCCCACAAACCTCTGAGTATTCAGAGCGCTCAAAGTTGGAGGAGTGACAGTTTTCAGCAACAGCTGGCTGCCTGCACCCATGCTCCTCTGAAGAGATTAGATGGAGAGTTAAGTTAGATGTATTTTGGGCTGTTCTTTCTAAGCCTTTTAAGTTAAATGTGAGGCTTATTTAGAAAAACATCGCTATTAAGAAAAGCATTTAAGCACAAGATAAAACATGATTCTAGATAGGAATCAACAAGCCTTTGATTAGATGTTTCTTAAAGTAGGTCCTTACGGAGTTGATCTCACATCATCTTTTTCTTTCTTTCTCTGTTGCAAAAAGATGTTATCTTCATAACATCTACTATAAATCCTTCTCCAATACTTGTGTAATCCATTACCAATATTTGGCCACCTTTAGATTTTTTAATACAATGCCCCATAATTCTCATTAAAAGCGGTACCAGTGTTGCTATTTTACAAATGTCCTGAGTTACAGAGAAAATAGTTTTCCCACTCTCACAAAAGGAAAATAGTACTTACGGAGTCTGGTCATTTTTGCTTTCCTTACTGCATTCTCCTTCCTGAAAATGGAGAAAAAGATTTATTTTGGGACAGTGATGTTTCCCAGGGGGATTGTGGCTCAACTCTCAAAAGAATTGAGCTTTTGCTTTTGCTGCCAAAAAACTCCTCTCTTTCATGACTTTAGCTATGGGTGACCCTCTATTAAAAGTCTTGTTCTGCTGTGATTTATAAATATATCTTAACTGATAAATGAATTATTTCCTTCAGTTAGACTATTGTTACGTAGTTAAGATACATTGCTAAGCAGTGTTAGTAAATTCACAGCACCGCCGTAGAATTACTAGTTTGTCATTTGTCTTGTGTTTTCATTTCTTGTAGTTATGCCCTGTACATTTTTACCTTTCTAGCATGACTTGGACTCAGTTTGAGTAAGTGTTGTCAATCATTATTGCATGATATAGAAACAATACTAGAAAACAAGGTCTTGCCATTTTCAATCTAACAGAACAGCTCTGTTGCTGATATTGTCTGACTGCATAACAGATGGTCTAGTGTCCCATGAGAAGACAGCCACTTCCTTGCATAATAAACAAAGAAGGAGAAGTTGTCTGCAAACCATTAGCATATTGTAAAGCTAGATGCAATGTCTTGATATTGTCAGAATGGGTTCCTCAAGCACATTTCTTTGATATTCTGTCATAAGTTAGATACAAGACAGCATTAAATCAAAATTAAAACTTTAAAAGGCTGCCAACTGTTTAACTGTTCCCAACAATAGAACGCCAGTAAAAAATATCCTCCATTTTCTAAACATTGACAAGCAACTAGCTGATAATAAAGGTTTGAGTATGGGTACCTTTTATTAGAGGAAGACAAGATTATTAAGCCCACGTGTCACATTCCCAACAATGTGGGGGAGATTCCTTTCTCCTTTTTCCTTTTTACAAATCAAGACGTTAGTTCTAGTGCTGTTCTTGCTTGAAGTGCAGATTTGGAATTGTATAGTGAAAGCTTATGAAATTCTTGGCTGTTTTAAGAGTATTTTCCCTTAAAATTGAATGTTGACATGTTATGTGTATATAGATATCTGCATACGTATGTATATATAAAATGTATGTTGTATTTAATAATATATGTATAATGTAATTATATAGAGAGAATATACAAGGACTACTCCAAAATTAATACCTCCTGCTTCATGATGTTGGCCCACATTGTCAGAGGCAAATGGTGGTGTTATGGCAGTAGAGAATTTAACCTTCCTCCCAGTATCCCATTACACGTTGTTGCCGTGTGATGGATGGCAGCAGAGTGGCTGTCTGATAGAATGGTCTCTGACATGGAAGCGTGCATGAAGTAAAGAAGTGGAATTGAATTCCTACATGCAGAAAAAAATGGCACCCATTGACATTCATCAAGGCTCGCTGAATGTTTCTGGAGGCCAAACAGTGGATGTGAGCACAACATGACGGTGAGTGGTGCATTTCAGCAGTGCTGACAGCAGGTCACCTCTGCTGATGCAGATTCTTAAGAGAATGTCATACTGGCTCTTGTTCATTGCTGGTGAAAATGCACAGCAAATGGTGGTGACTGTGTTGAAAAACAGTATTTTGTAGCTGAGAATTTGCTCTATCAATTACTGGTCATGTGCTCTTTCTATGTTGTAGTTTCTTTGGAAATATATAGGATGCATTACTTTCAGAGGAACCTACTCATATGTCTATGGCTGATTGCTTTTGAAAAGAATTAGAAGTAGAAATAAGTGACGTGTTGCCATTTGCAGAGGAATGAAGCTTTTTTGTGGGGAAGCAGGTTTTGCACCTTTTAAAAAGAGTACTAAATATGGTGTTCCAAAATTAAGCTACAAATTATTCTTTCCGATTCTGCCAGGAAAACAAAACATAGCAAACCATTTTTGTACATCTTAAACTTTTTTTAACCAATGATTTATGGCACTGTTGGCACAGCATCTTAAAAAAAAATAAAAGGGGAAGAAAAAAAATCACCCAAATTCCAGATGTGTAAAGCTATTAAAGTTTGGAGATCATGGTCTTACTGAGCAATATGCTATTTACTTATTTGCCCAGATAGGTTTTAAGTCCTCCACCATAAACATTCAAAACAGAAATAACCCCAGTGATTTGCGGGGAAAAAAAATCCAATCTGGATAGATTTAGTTGAAGATCTCCTTTTTGTCTGTCTTGAAGCTAGGAAAGTTTTAAAGCTAGAACTAAAGTCTTTCCTGGGCATTGCTAAAGGCATTAAAGGAAGTATTTTAAGCTGACGCACTGCCAAAATACGAAGAGAAACACTGCAGACTGTTTCTGTTTGTCTATTATCAGTTTTATTGCTCATATTTCTGTTTCTAGAACACAGTCTTAGCAGAGAAAAATTCAGAAGAAAATATACTGAAATTAATATAAGCCGCACTTAACACTTTCTTATGTGCTTTACGCTGACAGAAATGGATCTAATTTGCTAAAAATGGGTAGAAACTGAGAGGGATTTTTTCAGAAAGAGTAGTCACTTGAGTTTTTACATTCACAATATGTGAATGAATATGCAGCATAATACATCTCCTGAAGTGTTTCGACTTTTTTGATTGGTGGTTATGTGTACATTTTCCACTTGACCTCTTTGAGAAAATGCAGAATTTTCTCCATAATCTACAGGGTATGAAATTCTACATGTTTTCTGGAAGCACAAATCCTGAAAATGCAACTTCACATTTCACTGCTTGTAACCATACTTGCACTTTGCATTCCTGTTTCATTCAAAGATGTAAACTGCATATTACTAGAGCACCATAAGCCATGTACAGTGCTTATGATGTTTGCTAATTAGTGAATTCAGATCATCCAGATGTATTGCAGGAGTCTAACCTCCTTAAGTTTAACGTGGGGTTGTGTGACAATTATCAGATTATTTAAAAATTTCTGCTATTAATCTTCCATTTCTATTCATTGTTCTCTCTTATCTTTACTTGTCTTAGGAAAAGAAATGAAACCCACTTCTCCATAAAGTCTATGTACGTTGTAAAAGTAACAATACCACACTTAGAGCAAACACTGTAATAATAGGAAACAAGTATATTATTCTATAACTCATTCTTTATCATTCAGAATCTATGTATGTGCAAAGGACCTCGGGGCAGTTAGTGGAGTACAAAACGGGGCAGGGGGCTCGAAGCAGGGTTTTGATGCTTTGAAGCAGCTTTCCAATGTATTTGAAACAGTACAAAGAATAGTAACTTTCCCTTAATCCTCTCTCTGAATAAAACAGTGACATTTCAAAGGCTGCAACAGTTTTGAATATATAATTAAGCTAAGCCCCTTTAACTTAGCACCATACTAATTCTATGGGATCATATGTAACCAATGGCTAAAGCGAATAACTGGATAAAGATTTGTGCCTCAAGTTTAGCAGGACCCCTGAATCGTACTTTGAACCAAACCAACCCTGAGCATTCTTTGCCCTCATTCATTCCCAATAGGCCCTTTTCTGAAAAGCACAGGCAAAACAATGCAACAACTCTTTTGAGCAGGGCTTTTTGGGTCCTGGAAAAAGTTTGAGAATAGAAATATTTCGGCTGCTCTGTTTGTAATGAGACTCGTTGCACTGCCTTTTGTACCTGTTATCATCTTCAGTAAATTTGCAAGCCTGCTAGAGTAGACTACAGCTAGAATTCACACACTTCTTCCAGTGAGGCCATGAAATAACAGTTTTGTTGATGAGTGCTTCTACAATACTATAATTGCAGCAGTTTTTCTCATATTAGCACATATAATTATTTTTCGTGTCAGAAAGTCTTATAATGCCTCCCTCACAATGGTCAGTGATCGAGTCCGAGTCAGCCTTTTGGACTACAAAATTACACTGCTTAAGTGTTTGTTCTGTACATTGATTTCAATGCTAAACTTTCTTCTTTCTCCTTTTGCACTTTATAACCTCTGATTTCATATGTCAGAAGAAAATGATGACGTCAAACATGAAATCAAAAGCACTAATGCTACTGATAATATGCTTCAAATGAGAGATTAAGAGATCTGGTTAAAATGATGGAGGAGAAAGGCAGGGAAGGGAAAATCAGAATCAGTGAACGAAAGCTTTTGTGCTGATCTTAACAGCACAGCCAGAGTCCATGAGAGCGATTGTGTTCAATTGATATCAACAGATACAGCTGGGGGTTCTGGTGTCAGATACTGTGATCTGATGTGTATTATGGGTTTCTTCAGGAATCTGCTCCATCTCCTGGCTTCTGCTGCTTCTGTTCTGGCACACTGGGTGGCAAGTGTCGCTTGGTGCTGGAACTGAAGATCTCAGACCACAGCCCTGGCTGTGGTTTGGCAGTATGGTTGTCAGAGATCTCTTACAAAAGTGAGAGCTATGGCTTACCAACCCAGTTCCCTCACTGCAACAGGCAAGAACATTACTGCAATCTGGTTTATAAATATAATTCCCTTCATGGTAAAACAGACAGCTTCTTGCTTGTGCAGCCCTAGCAAGCTGCTCAGGAAGCATACTGCCACAGCAATTGGGGATTTTCCCCTAATTTCCAGTCACATTGAGAGCTGTGCCAAGCTCTTTGCTCACTGTGCTGCCTAGAGCAGATGAAATAATTGAGTATGTTCAAGTCCTTCTTGGCCTACATTTTGTTGAGCTAATAAGCCAAGTTCCCTTACTTGTCTCTTGTTAGACAGGCTATCCATTGCTCTTATCATTGGAATTGTCCTTTGTACATTTTCCCGTCTGAGTTTACCTTTCTTAAATGTCAGTGATGAGAATTTATATGCACAGCCTCAGGTGAATTAGTACCAGGGCATGGTGCAGGAGTTTTAATAATTCCCTTTTGTACCTTGCCTGAAGCCTCCTGAAATTGCATTTGCCTCTGTAAGTGCTGACTGTGATCAAATAAAATACCATGCTCACTTTCCTCCTTTGTTACGTAAGTCATGGTGTTGGCTTGTAAAAGAAACTCTGTTTTTCTCTTATTGATATAACACTGCAGTCTATGCAGCTGAACTCTGTTAAGATCATTCCTGTACAATGCTCCTACGTGGGCTGGGCTCCCTGGCTCTATGTGGTCATCAGCCTTTGTTAGAGAGTACACTTATGTTGCTTGTTACTTTCATTAATGAGTTTAGTATCAAATACGTTCTGTTCCAGTCTGATAGCCTTTGAGGTGGACATCTAATAACCTTCCAGTTCTTCAATTGACTTTTTGATATAATCAATTGTCCTTGAGTTGTTTTTTTTATAATAAAACGCTGGTACTTAAACTCACCGTTTCCATAATAAACTGATTTCTTCCTTTGGAAATGTTCCTAATGATTTCATGAAAGTCAGCTGATTTCCTTCTTTGTGCGGACAGAGGTACTTTGTCAGAGTGCTGCAAGAGTAGTGTATCACATTTACCTTTGGCACACCTCAGGTGTATTTTATTGTTTTCTTTTTACATTCAATTATTCTTGTTTTAACCTTAATTATTCTTTGTAGGCTCTTGTATGTTACTGAATAACAGCCCAGGCTGAGTTCTATGGTTGGCTCATATTACTCTTTCCCTTTCTGAAGAGGGGGAACTAGGTTTTTTATTCTCCAGTCATGTAGCATGAGGCAGTCAGCACTTTTGTATCGAGCCTACTTTGTATTTTTTACTTGAGTGCATTTCACTCTCAGAATTTCCTTCTATCCTGTACAACTTTCACATTAATTACCTTTCTCTGTACTATTGTTCAATTTCATTAGAAAATGAGTTTCTCTCAACAGCAATAACAAGATCTTTGTAATTTCCCAAATATCATAATTAAAATCTTTGTTTCATTGTGTTCTCAAGTGCTTTGCTAACCCCAGACAAAGAGGGGATTTTCATTGTCGCAGGATTCAGATATCAAATCTGTCTCTTTCATCTGCCTTTCACCTTTAGAAAATCTTCTCATGAAAATGTATATGATTTCTGAGGTGGGGAGTAATGTAAGGAGCCAATACCTGACTTTTTCACACCTGTCAGCTCTGTAACCTTTTTCTTCAGGGCTTCAATAATTAGATCTGTGTGAAGTTTCACAAATAAAATGGAACTGGATGACTCCAGAATCTAATCAGGTCAAAAGCTAAATTCCTCTGGTGTGCAACTTGTTGCTCTTGGCTGAATTGCAGCCCTGTAAAGTGGAATTGTTAGATCCTTAACTTTAAAATATTAACTTCTTTTTTCTTTTTTTTTTTTT